AGGCGGGAGGGGCGGGAGGGGGGGAGGAGCGGGCTCCGGCAGCAGAGATGGTGGCGGCCGCGGCGGTGGTGCTGGCGGCGGGGGCAGCAGCCGGGGATGGCGCGTGCTGCTGCTGCTGCTTGCCGCAAGGTTTGTTAGCACTGGGTCCGGCGGAGGACGGGCGGCTCATTTCGGTCGGAACAAACCATCGAACTGCGGACACCGAGCAGATCGCTCACCGAAACCCCGCAGGGCCCCGCCAGTGGGACTCAAAACAACAACCCGTCTTCCTGGAGCCGCTGCTCCTTAGAGAACCGGCGCGGGCCTCGCCTTGGCGCCGCAGGAAACCGCGAACGTTCCAAAGTGTATCAACGTTCCAAAAGAGAAGCCTCAACGTTCCGCGGGCCAGCTCAGCGCTCCGAGCCAAGTCCTTCGCCCCCAGCAGCCCTTCCGCTCCTCCCCCGGACAAACCGAGCGTGGTTCCTTCTCCGCTCCCCCCACCCACCCCTCCCCGGAACATTAATCTGACGCAAGAAAGAGAGGCAGGGGGTGGTGTAGTCACAGGCTGCTCCCAAGCCGATGTTGGCTCCTACTGAGCACGCCCTAGCCTCTGCTAATGGCAGGCGGAGACTGCAATTGCTGCCCTTCTCGCCCCCTTTCCTCCCGCGGTTTTCCCGGGGACTCAAACGACGGCCGTGGAAGAAAGAGGAAGAGGGGGCAGAGGACAGTGAGGAAGGAATCGATGGGCACGCGCGCACAGGCGAGCTGATTTCTCTATTGTTTAAGGCATAGCAAAGCCGGAATGAGATTCCCTGACCGCCATCTGCTGGGTGTTTAACTCACTGCTTTCCTAGCACCCCGACTTTCCCAATAACCCCCTCTTGTTTTACTCATCCCGCAGAGGCCAAGCGAACTAACTCTTGGCCATTTCTCCAGGTTGTTGAAAAAGGATAGAAATGCCTTTCAGGGAAAGGCTGGGATGTCGCTCACCATTGGAACCAGAGGATTTCTGCATGACGTAACATTCGTAAGCACCTAATGCAAGCCGCCTTTCGGTGCTGATGTAACAGAACAGACTAATTCGCTTCCACAGAATGAAGAGTGAGGTTAGATAAATTCAGACTCTGGGTGTATGGGCCTTGCACGCATACCTACACCCTTTCCCATTAGAGGTGGGCACTATGTGGCCACATGTCATCCCCAAACACTCTGTACTGGAACCCAAGTCTCTCTTGATCATACTGCAGAGTAAGTCAACATGGTTTCCTGCTGGGTTGAGATGGGAAGCACAAATACTATATAATATAAACCTTAAATGGGATTATTTTTGAATATAATTTTTATTAAATACTTTAATTACAAGAATAAAAGCTAATACAAACTAAGAGAAAGAGAAGAGAATGGAAAAAAAGTGCAGGAAAAAAACAAAGAAGAAAAAGAAAAGAAAATATAATAAAAAGAAAAGAAACTACATCAATGTGTCCATGAAGTCAG